GATTCAGAATAGGCATGGACTTATTCTCTTTCATTTCTATTGTGAAATTAATGTTCCTTTCACAATGGTTGAGTGAAAGTAGGAAACTATCTAAATTGTCCTTACCATGAGGCTAGATGACAAAAAAGTCATCTATGTATTTAACCAACAATTTAGGTGTTAGTATTGCCTCTTGCAGGCAGTGTTCCTCAAATCTTGCCAGGATGGGAGACAGGCTAGATCCCAACACTAATCCTTGTGTTTGCTCCTATATCTTACCAGGTAAAATATGTGGTACTCATGGATAGTTTAATAAGTCTAATAATGGAAGCTACACTGATCCTTATTTCTTGTGTTATGTACACAAACATTCTTGTCCAAGTAGCTATTCGAGCTCTGATACAAACTCTGGAGGGACATCCAGAGATAACAAGGAATATGTATGAGTGTAGCTTCCATTATTAGACTTATTAACCTATCCATGAGTACCACATATTTAGCCTTTGGTGGTAAGTTATAGGAACACACGCAAGGATTAGCGATGGGATCTTGCCTATATCTACTCTAGCGAACAATTATATGGCCAAGATTTAAGGAACACTGCCTGGAAGAGGCAATGCTAACACCCAAATTGTTGGTTAGATACATGGATGACTATTTTGTCATCTGGCCTTATGGTAAGGACAATTTAGATAGTTTCCTATTTTCACTTAACCATTGTAAAAGGAACATTAATTTCACGATGGAAATGGAAGAGAATAAGTCCTTATCTTTTCTGGATGTTCTCATCATTAGTGAAAAGGGTAGGTTAGGAAGAGATGTTTATAGGAAACCAACATATTTTGGCTACTTGCTCAATTTTCTTTCAAACTAAGATTGAAATTTTGAAGTCAATGATTCTTCTAAGTATGAGGCTAGCGGATAGAAAACATTTGAGCAAAGAGTTGCAACGGCTGACAAATATATTCCTGAAAAATAAGTATCCTTTAGGCTTTATTGAGAATAATATCTCTATACTGAGGAATAAATTTTTAGACGGAGACCATTTATAAGAAAGTAGGGTTTCGAGACTACCAGTAAATCATTGTAATGAGATGTATTCA